ATAAATAAATAAATAAATAAATAAATAAATAAATAAATAAATAAATAGACAAACTCAAGCTGTTCTGTTTCCCTTTCTTGCTATAGGTTGATGCTACCGATGCGAGCTATCCATCAGTCAACACTTGTGTCCATTATCTTAAGTTGCCTGAATATTCTTCCGAGGAGATCATGAGAGAGCGCTTGCTGGCTGCTACAATGGAGAAAGGCTTTCATCTCAATTGAGTTTTGAAGTGCAGAAGGAAGTCAAGTCCGAGTGAAGCCTCTTGCATCTGTTTGCAGAGAAGCGTATGATTTTCCGCACTAATGACACTTGCCTTGTTTCCATCATTAAGGCTCTGAGAACATGTGGAATAATAAGTTCCTTAGCTGCTAATGACAAAGTAAATCCTTTAACTACCCAGCCAGCAGGCATCCAGCACAGGACACTGTTGCTTTACAAGGGCTCATGTGACTGGAAAGGTGGTTCTGCCTAACTGTTCCACAGAGCAGCCTCTCGGATCTTCAGTGCTCACTGTCAAATCTAACCGTGTTTGTATCGAGGTTGTCATCGTCTCCTACTCCATACACTACAGTTGCCATCACTCATCCCCGTTTTGCTGGCTTTTTAGCTACTTGGTCAGAAATCCTGCTTCCTTAAAACATAGAGTGTTAATGAGCATCTCAGGCTCTTTCTTTTCCTTTTTAATGATGCCTGCACTACCAGAGTGTTCTAGTGTTCTCTATTCGTTTGGCATATAATCATGCACAACCTTTTTATTTCTTTGAGGTGGGAGTATATTTTTTTTCCTAAATACCATTCTATAAAGATGAGATTCTAAAGTGTGTTTGTGCAGCTCAAAAATAAAGATATTAAGGGAGGGGCAAACACTGGTCTAGATGCAAGGCACACTCACAGCAACTTTTATGTTTGGTTGTATTTTCTTTGTATATTATAAACATTTATTTAACTTGTTGCAGTTTGAAGTAAATTTCTGAAATGTATGCTCAACAATAATCATTAAAATGTTTGCAGCGTAGAAAACTGTTTCATGTCACTATTTTACTACAGTCAACAGACCTGAGAGCTTAACCAGATATTTTTTTAACTCTTTACAATAGCATAAATTAATATATATGTATATAATAAAATAAAACAAAAACTATCACATCGAAGTTGGATAAGGCAAAGCAACAGGAGGAAAAGAGCCCAAGAGAAGGCATAAGAATGAAAGACTTTCTTGTTCTCACACTCAGGAGTCCCACATAAACAGTAAGCTGAAAGCTAAGATACCTATGCAGAGGACCTGTGCAGCCCCTGTGGATTCATACAAGCTTTGCAGCCCCAGTCCACCCATAAAATCTCTTTCCCAGGAAGATCTGTGTTCTCCTTAGTCCCTTTCTCTCTGCCTAACCTCTCGGGGCCTCCAGATTATAGCTTGGTTATCATTTCTTCAATAGCTAATATCCACATACAAGCAAATACATACCTCATTTATTTTTCTAGGACTGGTTACTCTGGGTGATTTTTTTTTTCTAGTTCCATCCATTTGCCTGAAAATCTTACGATGATCCAGGTGGGATCTAGTGATACCTTTTGGACAGCAGGTGTACTGTTTAGCACTGCAACTTCAGGGAGGGCGAGGAGGTCTGAGATCAGGAATGACTTCCTAGCTTGTGTTAGTGTGGAAAGGCTACTCCTATTTTCTGGTTTTGAAGAAAGGAGTGTTTCTAATTTCCAGAGGCCTTTTGCTACCACGTGGCGCTAGCAGTGATAGGAATGATAACAGTAATAGTAACCACATTTATTTTTATTTTGTGTGTTTGCGTGCACAAATGACTGTGCACCACACGTGCAGTACCTGTGGAGGCCAGAGGAGGGCATCAGACGCCCTTGGGATCGGTGTTAATGCGTGGTTGTGAGCCCGTGAACCCCCCCCCCCCCCCCCCCCCCCCGTGGGTGCTGGGAATTTACCTGTGTCCTCTAGAAGAACATCCAGCTCCCCCACAGTGGCTTCGAAAAGGCATTTGGAGCATATTTGAGGTTGCTCAGTCCTGGGTGATTACCATAAGAAACAGCTCAGACTGCTGTCAGTGCTTTTATGCGTGTATAGGGATCCTCCAAGGATTGGTTGCAGGGTGCACTTTTCCATAAATGCCATAGTTATTTGCATACATCCTGCCCACATCCTCCTGAGGCTTGAAACCATTCGTGTTTCTCCACTTGACCCTGGGTAAAGTACCATGTAAGAAGACACCTGTAAGTGTTCAGCATAGGCGATTTTCCAAATATTGAGAGTCTGCTCTTGGGAGAATCCTTGGATATGGAACCAGTGTTGTGAAAGTGTGGCCAGAGGCAGCCTTCAATTATTTCACTGTATTCGCTTCACGGTTCACTGTGAGACTGAAAGCTAAGACATAACAGCCACATTTCAGTATGTTACCTGTGTTTTGACCAGAAAGGTAAAGGGTTCTTTTTTGTCTTGACGTTAGTGAAGTCGTGGCTGTACAACTAACTACATGACAGGGCTGATACCCGCTTGGCATGTACAGTATTGCATGTCAGAATGTTTCCTACATAAAAGCCTTGTGAGTGGTGAGCTTCGGCAAAGGCCAGCTGGGTGGTGAGAGCAAATCTTGGTCTGCTGGCTGTTCTCATTGGCTGTGTGGCTGTGGGGTAAGTGTGATCTGAAAATCGTTCGTCTTGTTTTTAAACGCTGATTTGGGAGGCGAAGACGGTGCTGTACCATGGCACTCATGGAGGGACAACTTGTCAGGGTTGGTCTCCTCCAGCGGGGTGCGGTGTCGCCGTTAATCCCAGCCCTTGGGAGGCAGAGGCAAGCAGCTCTCTGAGTTCCATCCACGCACGCAGTGTATTTCTCGAAATTATCACACCAGGCAGTTGAGATCTGAGACTTTCGGTTTGGTCTCTTTGCAAATGTTCTTATTTCCTGAAACTGAATATTTTGATATCAGAGACCTAGCTACAGCTTGACCTATATATTAGCATATACATATAAAATCCCTTATCCATTCATCCATAGGTGCTGCTAATACCTTTCATGGTCTAATAACCTTTTTACGTTTGGTATTTGCATTTTCAAATGACAAGATCTCTATCAACACCTGCCTTTCGTCAGGGTCTGCTACAGCTTTGTTCGCTGGTGAGACTAAAGTTTGTAAAAAGTCAGTGAAATCTGGTGTCAGAAGAAGAAAAAAAAAGGAGCTGGTTTTTCTCCTACCGTGTACACCCTGGGGATGACATTCAGGTCACCAAACTTGGTGACAAGTGCGATTGTGCACTGGCCCCAGGTTTCTAGATGGTTGAAAATACAAGTAAAGGTAGTATTTTATGACATGAAAATTATTATTTTTTCTAAGTTCTCTAACCTAGGCTGGCTTCAAACTCCACCTAGCCAAGAATGATGTTGAGCTTCTGGCTCCCTTTCCTCTGGCTCCCCAGTGTTGGGGTTACAGGCGTGCACCACCAAGCCTGCTCAGTGCGGTGCTAAGCTCAAACCTGGGCCTCGTGTATGCTCAGCAAACACCTACTGCCGCCCCGGCGCTGAAATGTTCGGAGTTTTCTTAGAACAGTTCTGTTCTTTCGCTTACGGACCATGTTGCTTTTGCACCACACTGGCTGAGTGGGGAAGATAGCTGGGACTACATAGCTCACATAGAGTCAAATATTCAACCCCTGCCTGTTGGAGTCAGTTTGCCAGGTCCTAGTCTAGCAAGTTGCTACAGTGGATTGTCCGGTGATTCCTAGACGATCAGTTTAAAAGGCACTGCAGGCAGTTAGCTGAAGTGAGGAGGTTACACAGCATGTTACCAACAGCTGAACCACAGCTCGCTTTGAGTCAGGTGCTGTCAGCCATACCAGGGTCTCCAAGTACAGCCAGGCTCTTCAGGGTATTTTCCTATGGTATCTACTTAATATTTTTTAAACTTTAATATTCTCTAAAGGTACTAAAATCTGTGCCAAGATATAATTTGTCTGCTATTTTAGTGTGACCCCAAATTTAATTATGTCCACTCCCTAGCTGCTTCTGGCGTACCAGTTTCTACAGTTCCCCAGATGCTACTATTAACTGCTGCCAGCTAGGACAGTGTTTCCTGCTGCTGCATCTCAGGAAGACGTCGGAAGGGCTTCCGTCCAGACGGACTTTCTCCACTTCCTGCGTCCATCGTGCGGTGCTCCACGGGCCAGAGCCTTCTCTGCGCCTTTCCAAATGAGTTCTGAACCATCCATGTTTGCGTTTGGAGTCCAGTATGGCTAGTTTTCCGGTCCTTATGATTAAAACTTTAAATCTATGTGTAGCATTTTAGAACAAGAACCGCCCCGGTGCTGGAGAGGTGGCTCAGTGGTTAAGAGCACTTGCCTGCCCTGTTAGAGGTACTAAGGTCAATTCCCAGCACCCACAATGGCTCACAACCATCTGTATTGGGATCTGATGTCCCCTTCTGGTGTGTGTGAAGACATCAATTATATACAGAAAAATAAGTGAATAAATATTTAAAAGCCGCCTCCTCTCCCCATCCATACACGAGAGCAAACACAGTGCCACCTGGGGGTGGGGGGCTGATCCAAGTGGAAGAGCTCCTGGAGTCCTGCCCAGGCTCTGCACAGTTGCACTTCCTCCACTGCGCGTCACCCTCCGCACCAGCGTGCACGTAGATGCTCCTGATATATGGCAGCTCTCTGTGTTGTGTTGTCCGGGTGGAGGAGCAGGGGTGCCTGCTTCTAAGACAAGGAAGACAGTTAGGCATGACCCGCTTGCTTCAGCAGCACACAAGGACTGGAATGATAGACTAGCATGGGCCTGCGCAAGGGTGATTCACAAGTTTGTGAAGTGTTCCGTATTTTTTATCAAATACCTTGTGTTTGATAAAGCAAATTTTTTAAAGGATAAGAGGAAGGAAAGTGCTTATTTTATATTAGCCTGATGAGATTGTTTTTCATTTTATTTCTTGGAACTAACATAATTTTTATTAATGAGCTTAGTAGGAAGCCGGGCACTTTAGAACATGCCATAAGCAGATGTGATAACCTGGAACCCCGGATCCTGGGAGGTGGAAGCAAGAGGATTTGGAGCTCCAGGTCATCCTCAGCTACATAATAATTTTGGGGGCCACTCCTGGCTACATTGAGACCTTGTCAAAACAAAATAATAGTAAACTGTGGCATCACAGTGGCTGTTAGGGCCCTGGTAATGTTAACCATTTATTTCACAGTAGCACCACCATGAGATCAATTACATGATGGCATCAGAATTGCTAAGTACCCTTAAAATGGTTATCAAAGACTTCCCAGAACCTGGAAAATACTGAATTTCTTAGGTGTGTGTTGGAATGACCTTCTGCTGATTCTTTGCTTTTGAGACAGAATTTTGTGACACAGCTCAGGTAGGCCCAGACCTCACACCCCTGTGTACATCCCAAGCTGGAGGCGATACATGTAGTCCTGTTTAAAATACAGTGTGGCTGGTGAGAGTCTTAGCTGGTAAAGCACGTGCACAACCACAGTGGCCACATTTCCAGACTCAGGTCAAAGAGCAGCACACACCTGCGATTCCAGCCTGAGGAGCTGCAGACGGGGGCCCTGCGGCTTGCTGGCCTACTTAATGAGCTCTAAGTGAAAGAACCTGCTTCAAAAAAAAAAAAAAAAAAAGGAAAAAAAACAAAGATGGGGAGAGCAAAGTAGGTATGAGCAAACACATTGTAAACAGATAGGAAGTTCTCAAAGAATAAAGTTGAACTATATTTAAAATACAGGAGAAGTGACTGAGGAAGACACTCTGACCTCGGTCTCTGGTCTCTCTCTCTCTCTCTCTCTCTCACACACACACACACACACACACACACACACACACACACGGGAAGGGGCGGGTGCCTTGGGCTATACAGAACAGCTGTGAGAGAGTGCTCAGGGCTTTAGGGAAAGAGGTAGCAAGCAAAGGACTTCACCCAAATGTCATGTGGTCAAGTCAACTTGAAATTTATTGGCTGATGGAGAACTGCCACCCATTCTTTCCCCTGTAACCCTGATGCTCCTGCAGAAGGAAAAGGAAGCATACAGTTAGCAAGTATACAAGAATCATCAGCTTGTTCAATGGGTACATATACATGTATACAGTCTAGGTACAGCTTGGTCTTCACGTGGTGCCCTAGTAAGGGGTATAGGGGCTGTCTCTGACAAGGACTCTGTTGTATGCTTCTCCATCCCTGGCAGGTCTGTCTTGCCAGGCCACTATGTGTAGCAGAAGTAGTCAGTCCTGAGAAGACTTCATGTGCTGGGGGGGGGGGGGCCCCCCCCCCCCCCCCTTTTCAAAGGGGGGGGAAGGGGGGGGGGGGGGGGGGGGGGTGGAGTGGTAAGGAGGGTGGGACAGGGAGGAGAGGAAGGAGGGGCTATGGCTGGGGTGTAGAGTAAACTAGGAGAGAAGTGTTTGTTTTCTCTGTGGAACCATGGGAAACAGCTAGTGACAGTTTTCGAAGGCTGCTGTGGTTTGTGATGTCTTCCTTCATCAGCTTTCTGACATCTTGTCAAGGATCAGTAGAGGGGCAAGAACTCTCGTTCTGTTAGTTTCCACAATGCAGCCGTTTAACACCATCTCGTCCAAAATGATGTGGACTTTGTCCAAGTTAAACATTATCTAGATCACATTAAGGAAATTAGTTTGAGAAGTTAACAAATATAAATAGTAACATGACTTAATCTGGTAGTTTCCTGCTCCAAATAAAAACAAACATGGTTTTTCTTTTTAATCCCTAGTAGACATACACACCTATATTCACCCTGGCTAAGACATTGAAATGAAACAGTCACTTAAATTAAGTTTATGTATGTATGTATGTATATAAGTATGTGTGTATGTATATATGTATATGTGTGTGTATGTATGTACGAATGTATTTGCACTCAGGATGGAACTCAGACCTTGCATGTTATACAGTACTGTAGCACTGAGCTACTTCCTGATCCAGAACAGTACATTTTGTTAGCCAAAGTGGGCTAGAGTCTTTAAGTGCCAAGAACACAGCAAATAACATTGCAGTAGGAAAACGAGCTCAGCAGTAACAGCAATGCTTGCTGAATGTGTTCAAGGCATTGTGATGACTGTGTTCACATGTTATTTCAGACTTCTCTACCATCCTCATTTACTCAGGAGGAAACAGTCCAAAGTCTGGCCAAAGCCACCGGGCTGGTAAAAGCCAGAGCTGGGCTACACTGAGCGACTGCTCTGTTCTCCAAGCTTCTCTTGAGGAAAACAAAGCCCTAAGTAACGCCCCCTACTCCCCCAAGGCTCATCTGCCGACAACAAATGCCCTTCTCCTCGGCCTGTACCCTCAGCTGTCTTCTCTGCCAGGCAGAAGGAAAAATAGTCCAGAGGAGAAAATATAGGGGAGGCATGCTAACCAAGCTCTCCCAAGACGGAAGTTCGGAGTTCTCCAACCACTTTTGGGTTCTGAGACCTTACCTCGGTAAGGCGCTCACTGGAAAGCTAGTCTCTGTAGGGGAAGAAGAGGGCTCTGGGCAGTGAGGCCAGAAAGGGCCAGACTCCCTGAGAACCCTTCCATCTGACCGTCTAACTGTGGAGCAGGATGGTTGCAATGATTTAATGTTTCTTAATTTTACATTTGAAACTTGAGATTCTATTTTGAAAGAGCTGTTTGAGAAGAAAGAAACAGCTGTTTCAAATAGAAAAACTTCATTTGACATAAGTGATTAGAAGCAACAGTGAGTTTTTAATTAGTGAATCTTTGCAAAACATATCATTAACTGATTTCGTTCAATTCCTGATAGTCAAAGTCTATGGAATTTGCTCAGTGAAGTCTGTCTACAGAGAATGGGACAACCTGTGAATGACTTTTCAGTTTCCATTAGACAGTTAACATCTCATTAAGTTCTGTGCAAATAGCCCTCTAGCAGAATAGGCCTTCTTAGGAGCCAATGGGAGCTGTCCCTAAGTGACCCAGAAAAAAAAACAACAAAAAAACACCTTTGCTCTGATAGACCTATTAATAATATCTTCCAATTATAGACATGATTGCTTTGTCCCAGGCCAAAGTAGGACTGTAATGAATGTTAGGCTCAACCCTGTTCATCAGAGCCAGCAGCCAGAGTTTACAGGCTGAGACAAAATAGGAAGGCAGCCAATAGGAAGCCGGGCTGAGAGGCCCAGCTGCAGCTAGGGGCGGTGCTTGCCCACCATGAAGACCCAAGGTTGACCCCCAGCACCCTTCAACCTCGGTGCAGGAATGCATGCCAGTAATCTCAGCTCTTGGGAGGTGAGGACAGGAGGATTAGAAGTCCAAGGTCCACTTCGGTTACACAGAAACTAGAGGTCTGCCTGGGATACCTAACAGCCAGCACAAGGGACTGAGTGAGAACAGATCCTGGATACTCCATCCGGGCACTGAGGGCAGTGGGACTTCTCTGCTTGATCTCTGAGATCGGAGGAAACCTCATTTTATTTGTTTAAACTGGTTTTCTGATCAAACTTTCCCATCTTCAGCAATTAAACAAAACTGTTATTCAGATGTCTCCTTGAGCAACTGCCCAGCTGTTTTGAAATTCAAATCAGAATGTATCGCTGAATCATGTCAACCACTGGCATGCCCACACCGAAAGGACAAGGTACTTTGGCAAGCCTGAGTTTCCCAACCTTCTGGAAACACAAGTTAGCCAGTGAGGTCATTCTGTACTGTGGGCACATGACTGCCTGGCTACCTGGCTCAAATCCCAGTCATCACCCAGTTCTGCACTACATGAGCAAACCCAGACCAGATCCCAGTACAAAGCAAAGACCTGACATCTGATGCCCCCTAAAATCACATGCCATCTTTAAAATAAGGATCCAGCTGTTATTCACATCTTGATTGGTTTATGAGCAACTTGTATACACTAGTGGAGCCAAGATTAGTGGCATTGGGCCATATGCCAGGGACCGAAAAAAGCGTCCTATATGCCAAGCCTCAAGGCAATAAATACAAGCAAATATTACAGTCCTGACTTTGGGATAGGCGGGAGCAAGAAAGAACTGGCCTGTGGTCATCAATTCAAGCAACTAGGAGAACTTCCTTTAGCCCAGACTGAACAGCACCGACTTGAAGAGCACACACAACTTCCTAAACCTCAGGTTTCTCAGCGTGGAAGCCCAAGGACCTTGTGGGATTTCTATGGCAGACAGTCTGTAATGGAACGCTAAATGGGTTCTACACAAGAATTTTGATCTCCAGCTCCCAAAACATATGCTTCTTGTGTGATGTTTTATTTTATTTCCTTGAGGTAGACTCTTAGGTGCTCTGACTAGCCTTGGCCTTGCTATGGTAGTTGAAGATGGTTTTGAACTGCTGGCCCTCCTATCTGTACCTTCCCAGGCCATTTACAGGTGTGAGCCACCATACTCAGCCCTACATAGTCTTTTAACACCAATGTGGTGGCTTAGCTCTCCTTTAGTAAGTGGGAGAACGGAGCAAACCAGAGTCAAAGGGGACTTTCAGAACAACTACACGGCACTGAAATGGCTTTACTCCAGGGAGCTGGAGAGATGGATCAGCAGTTACCAACACACACATGGCAACTCACAGCCATCTGTAACTAGTTCTGGATCTGACCTGTTCTGAACACCAATGAGACACACAGAAATACATGCAGGCAAAGCACCCATACACATAAAATGAATCTTAAAAAAAATTTTTTTTAAAGTTTGAATGTAGGCTCTGGGTCTGTCTATTTCTTTCTAGCTTGTTTTCCGAGGGTTGTCCCCAGAACCTTAGAGATGGGAGGCTGGCGCGCTCCCAGTGAGCCACACCCCAGGCCCAGCACTAGGACAAGGAGCCCGAACTCCTGTTGCTTCTCATAACTTCTGTTACTATTTAAAAAAAAGAAAGAAAGAAAGAAAGAAAGAAAGAAAGAAAGAAAGAAAGAAA